AGGGTCCGCTCGGCCGAAACGCCGTCCAGGATTGGCCCGCTCGGCTGGTCTTATCTGGTTTGTTAATTCGCCTGCTTGCAACCCTACCCGCTTTAACGCCCGCCCGCCTCACCTGCCCGATCGGGTCCATTCGCCCGACCCACGCGAAAAGGTCCCCCTCTGTGGCTGGCTTATGTGGGCGCCTGATTTAATGCCCCCCCGCCCGATACACCGTCAGGGTCTGCTCGGCCCGCCTGTCAGGGTCCGCCCGGCCCACCCGATAGGGTCCGCCCGCCAGACCCGCCCGTCAGGTTCGACCCACCCGCCGGAGACCGCCGCCGGCGAAGACTGCTGCCAGCGACGACGACCGCGGCGAAGATCACACCCAGCGAAAACGACGTCCGGCGAAGACCACCGCGGCGAAGACGAACCTGGCGAAGAAGAACTCAACGAAGACGATCCGAACGAGGACGATCCCAGCGAAGAAGTCTGACGGCGAAGACCACCGCGAGCGAAGACGATACCGGCGAAGATGACCCCAGCGAAGAAGACCGACGGCGAAGACGACCCCCGCCATGACGACCGGGAGAAAACGGCCGCCGACGCAGACTGTTCGTGCCAGACGGAGAAGGAAGGAGGGAAATGAGGAAATAAAGAGACGGAGAGGCCGGAGGAGGAGGAGGAGGACAAGAGAAGCACTTAGGCGAAAAAAAATGAGCCTGGCGAAGAACCCAACCATATGCAGTTGTCAGTACCGCAGCTGCGGGTTTCATCTTCAATGGAACTCCCCATAGGACTACGGAACGTGTGAGGGGTGTGCCGAGATGGGTGCCACTGGGGCATTCGGCGAAGCTCCCTATGGGGACAAGAAACACGCGCGGGGCGTGCCGACATGGGTGGCGGAAACGCATGTGCGGGCCGCCACTGGGGCCTCCAGTGGAGCTCCCTATGGGTCCCCGAAACATGATGCTGCTGCGGGGGGGAGGGGGGGCGGGATGGGTGGCGGAGACGCATGTAAGCGCCGCTACTGGGGCCTTCGGTGGAGCTCCCTATGGGGCCACGAAGCTCGTGAGGGGTGTACTGGGATGTGTGGCGGGGACGCATGTGAGCGCCGCCACTGGGGCCTTCGGTGCAGCTCTCTATGGGGCCACGAAACGTGTGAGGGGTGTGCCGAATTGGGTGCGGGTGGTGACGCATGCGGGCGGAGCCACTGGGGCCTTCGGTGGAGCTCCCTATGGGGCCACGAAACCTGTTGTTGTGAGGAGCGTGCCGGGATGGGTGGCGGGGACGCATGTGAGCGCGGCCGCTGGGGCCTTCGGTGGAGCTCCCTATGGGGCCACGAAGCGTGTGAGGGGTGTGCCGAATTGGGTGTGCGGGACGCATGCGGGCGGCAGCGCTGGGGCCTTCGGTGGAGCTCCCTATGGGGCCACGAAACGTGTGAGGGGTGTGCCGAAATGGTGTGCGGGACGCATGCGCATGCTTGCGCAAGTAGCGCCGCCATGGGCCTTCGGTGGAGCCCCCTATGGTGCCGACGAAAGGGTTTGAGGGGTGTGCCGAAATTGGGTGTTGTGTGACCGCAGCGGCGGGCATCACTGGGGCCTTCGTGGAGATTCCTATGGGGCCACGAAACGTGTGAGGGGTGTTCCGAATTGGGTGTGCGGGACGCATGCGGGCGGCAGCACTGGGGCCTTCGGTGGGGCTCCCTATGGGGCCACGAAACGTGTGAGGGGTGTGCCGAATTGGGCTTGCGGGACGCATGCGGGCGGCAGCACTGGGGCCTTCGGTGGGGCTCCCTATGGGGCCACGAAACGTGTGAGGGGTGTGCCGAATTGAGTGTGCGGGACGCATGCGGGCGGCAACACTGGGGCCTTCGGTGGGGCTCCCTATGGGGCCACGAAACGTGTGAGGGGTGTGCCGAATTGGGTGTGCGGGACGCATGCGGGCGGCAGCACTGGGGCCTTCGGTGGGGCTCCCTATGGGGCCACGAAACGCGTGAGGGGTGTGCCGAATGAGTATGCGGGACGCATGCGGGCGGCAGCACTGAGGCCTTCGGTGGAGCTCCCTATGGGGCCACGAAACGCCTGAGGGGTGTGCCGAAATTGGTGTGCGGGACGCATGCGGGGGCAGCACTGGGGGGCTTACGGCGGGTCACCCCATTGGGGCCACGTAAACGTGTGAGGGGTGTGCTCGAATGGGGTGTGGGTGACGCAGAGAGCGGGCGGCAGCACTGACTATGGGCCACGAAACGTGTGAGGGTTGTGCCGAATTGGGTGTGGGTGAGCGCAATTTGCTGGCGGCAGCACTGGGGCCTTCGGTGGGCCTTCCCTAATGTGCCATGAAATGGTGTGGGTGACGCAAAGCTGGCTGGCAGCACTGTGCCTTTGTGGGGCTCCAAGATGGGTGGGGTGCCCCCCCGGGGCCCCACGAAGACGTGTGAGGGTGTGCCGAATTGGGGTGGTGCGGGACGCATGCGGGCGGCAGCAGCATGGGGCCACGAAACGTGTGAGGGGTGTGCCGAATTGGGTGTGCGGGGCGCATGCGGGCGGCAGCACTGGGGCCTTCGGTGGGGCTCCCTATGGGGCCACGAAACGTGTGAGGGGTGTGCCGAATTGGGTGTGCGGGACGCATGCGGGCGGCAGCACTGGGGCCTTCGGCGGAGCTCCCTATGGGACCACGAAACGGTGTACTGGGTGGGTGAAGAGGAGAGGAGGAGAGGAGGAGAGGAGAGGAGGAGAAGAGAGGAGAGGAGAGGAGGACGCGGGGACCGTCTCTTCAAAACGAGGACCCAACACCACAGGATGGTTGGGAAAAACATTCGCATATAAAGCAAAGCAAAGCAACCTGACTATGAGTGATGAGCATGGCTCCACGAAGACAGCCATCCTTTGGGAAGATCTACTGGGGCAACGCTCCGGATGTAAAGCTGTTCGGCAGAGCCGGCGAGTGCGCTCCCAGACAGCCGACGATGCCTCGTCAATTCGGGCCACCAAACCTCCAAACCCCTTCCCCGTGGGCAGTTTCTGGTCCCGGATCCGTATGTTTGACGGTCCCAGGGCCCGATGACGCGCCCTAGAAGCCGAAAGCAGAGGAACACGCCAAGCGTAAACAAAAAACATACCGCCGGAGATCTGAAGAGTTTCGATCGGCATGGGCACGTCTGGATCGCAAGTGGGACGCAGCACGGGCGACAGCTGGGCCAGGCCACGAGCAGATACTGCGCAGACGGAGACGCTGCTGGCGCGCACCCTATAGCAAATCGAGGCCTCGCTAGGTCTGCCATACGGCAGGTTCGACTTGCACGTTGGTTTCTGACACTGCGTGGCTCGTTACAGGGGCTCCCAATAAGAGGCTCCCAAAGGGCCCCCGAGAGGACCCCAACAAGCCCCGAGGGGACTTCCAAGAGACCCCCAGAGGCCTCCAAGAGGCCTCCCGTCCACGACCCAGGCCGTGCCGAAGGCCACCAGACATTGCCAGGGCGGCAGAGGGCGCGGCCCTTTGTCACGCTTCGCAGCCCCGAGTGCAACAGAACATGGTCATGTACGACAGGCCGGTGCTGCGACGACCCCGAGAGTCGGCTTCTGACACTGCGTGGATCGTTCAACCTCGAACGGTCGGCCGCTTTTCGATCGCCAGATCCTTCCATATTGGCCGATCCTGGGCCACCGGCGACGTTCGGCCTTGAACGCGGTCGCTGCCGCGTCGGCACGGCACGAACCTACCCTACCCAGAGGGCATCCAGGTGGTGTGCCCAGAGATTTGGAAGCAGCGATCTCTCCTGTGAAAACAAGATATCCCGAGGCGCCTGCAGCCCAGTCGCCTCACTGGGGCACAGCTCTGGCCACCTACGAGAAAGCCACTCGGAGCGCCAGATGGGGGCGGGGCGGGGAGGAGGCGGAAGAGAGGAAGAGGACGAGGGCGAGGGCGAGGGGGGAAAAGGGAAGAAGAAGGAGAAGGAGGAGGAGGAGGAGGAGGAGGGCGAGGGGCAGTTAAACAGATGACAGCGAGGGGACCTGGGAAGAAGGCGGAGAAGGGAAGAGAAGGGCACCGAGGAGGGGGGACGAGGAGAGCGATGACGACAGCAAGGACGACGACGACGAGGAAGAGGATGACGAGGGGACAAACAGACACCGATACCTAACTATACGACCACCCTTCGGGTGATAAGGAGGTTGGTGGGGTGGGGGAAAAGAACGAACTGCTAGCAAATGCGATGGATGTGATGATGACGATGCCGGTGACGCGCCCTCGAGTTAGCGACGACGCGTGATGACAATTTTGCGCTGCGGTGTAATGTCACTATCGTCCCCGCGTTCCATCTCACAAACAATGTCACAATCAACCTCACTGTCGATCTCACTTTTCGTTTCACTATCCATCCCATTCTAGCGATCTCATGATCGATCTCACTATCGACTTCACTATCGTTACCAAAGCGGGACACCCCGGCACCGCCCCCCAACCGCCGACGGAACACCGACGGGACACCTACGGGACACCACGGCGGGACACCCTGGGCCACCGCGCGCCCACTGGGAGCGGAGGGGCGGTCGACTGCATCCGAATCGCCCTAGCGACTGAGGGTCATTCCTCTCGCGCGCCCACGCAGCTTCGCCTCGCCCGCACGCACGACTCGAATACGAAACCGAAACCGATTTCCTGGTGGGGGGCTCTCCATTCCAATGCGATCTCCCCCCCAAACCTCCGAGCGCTACTCCACGGACATCTCCTGGGGCGCATGCGCATTCTGACCAGCATTTCAAAGCGTATCCAGCCGTGGCGACGAGGGACAGGTAGCGGTATCAGCACCGTCTGCTCCTCTGAATGGCGGGCACGAGGACGAAGACGAGGACGACAGCGATCATGACGATGGCGATCAAGACGACGACGACGACGACGACGACGACGACGACCACGACGACGACGACGACGACGACGACGACGACGACGACGACGACGACGACGACGTCCGTCGTGGGCGGCACTTCACATTCAAAGGGGGATGGCCAGCTCTGGGGCGGAGCCTCTCCTTCTCGGTGCCGGCCCTCCTCTCCGGGTGGTACTCCAC